GGCGACCAAAATGCCGGGAACAAGAGGCTAGTAACCCCTTTTCCTGTATACATTACAGGTCCGCCATCACAAATCCGGCAATCAGTTATTCGGTTCCTTCAGTTATTCGGCACTAATTTTGGCTAGCATAATTTCAAATTTCCAGGGTCGCCACACCAACCTGCTGGTACTGTTTGGTGGCGCTACTTGCTGCATAAGTCATTCCAATTTCTTTTTCTCCATTTATTGTTTTAACCTGCTTACTTTTAGCCCTAGCCATGGTTCCAATGAATAAAAGAAATGCTTCTCATTATGCAAAGCACCTACACAGTACATTATCCACTAAAGATAAGGTGGCTTTGAAGCCACTGTCGGTTGTCATGAGCTCAGTCTCATGAAGCAGGAGAATATGCTTTATTATTCGCTAATATCAACATACAGCTTATTTGCCTATCACAATTGATCTAAATATGACATAAAAAACAATATAATTAACATAAAACATGTTAAATACTCCAGAATAAATAATATTTGGCATAACACCGAACAGTTCGACGAAGGTATGAAGATATGTGGTATACAAATACCATTCTCCTATCCCTGTCTTGGGGGCTTATATTAGAGAAAACGGAGTACAGCACATGGCTAACTGTGATATACACTCGTACTGCACCATAAACCTGATACAAAAAGGTTATTTTCTCTATATAGATTATCAAACATAGCAGCATATGTGTAGAGAACCTAGGATAACCCAAAAAAGTCAACGTGGCTTATTTTTAGTACCTGGCTTGGGTTAGCCATACAGTGGACCCCCAAGTTTCGTGATTAATCCGTTCCAGAGAGCCCGCCGAAGGTCGAAATTCACGAAACTCGAAACCATTTTCCCCATAAGAAATAACAGAAATAAAATTAATCCATTCCAGACACCCAAAAATATTAAAATAAAATATTTTTTTTTCAAATTAAATAAAGATTTACATAATGAAAACAATCAGAAATCAAGTACATGCATTTAAAAAAATAATAATAACATTACACTTACCTTTACTGAAGACTTCTGCGTGGATGGAAGACGGGAGGAGGGGATAGGAGGAAGGTGTACACTATATTTTGGAAAGAGAATTTCCTTCCATTAGGACTTCAGGTATGAAGTCCATATCTGGGGTTACTTCCCTTCTTCTTTTAATGCCACTGGGACCGGTTTGAGAGTCACTGGACCCCTGTCACACAAAATATCTGTCCAGAGAAGTCTGTTTCTGGCATTTCTTTAAGATTTCCCTGAAGTGGGACACAACACTGTTATTGTACATGTTGCCAATACGGCCTGCAACAGCTTTGTTAGGGTGAAGTTCATCCATAAATGTTTGCACTTCAGTTCACTTTCCACAAATGTCCTTAATCTTTGAAGAAGGCACCTTCCTCCATCTCTCTTCCTCCCCCTCTGCAGCAGTTTCCTGAGCTGTAAATTCTGTTGCTGTTGCAGATGAAGCTCTTGCAGCTCCTCGTGGTTAGCTCTTCCCTGTGGTCCTCCACCAACTCTTCCACTTTCCTCACCACTCACCTCCAACCCCAGGGACATCCCCAATGCCACAATAGTTTCCACAACTGGCATAGGTTCCTTGGGTCAGCCACAAACCTTCAAAATCCCTCTTTTGTACAAAATCGGGCCCACAAATTTCTCCAAGCAGAGTTCAAAGCCCTGGAAGTCACTCCCTCCAAGGACTAACCTATAAGGTTTATGCAATGGAGGTTTATAAAGTGTTCTTTCCAGAACTCTCTTAGGGTCAATTCAGTGTCTGAGGTCACTTCAAAGCACTTCTGAAACACTGCTTTGGTGTAGAGTTTTTTGAAGTTTGAAATGACCTGTGGTCCATGGGCTGGAGGAGAGGAGTGGTATTAGGAGGCAAGAATTTCACCGTGATGAAACTAAAACTCCTCCACTATTTGCTCTTCCAAGTATGGAGGATGAGCAGGAGCACTGTCCATTACTAGGAAGCACTTGAATGGCAATTTATTTTCTAGGAGGTATCTCTTCACACGGGGGCCCAAACACTTCATTAAACCAGTTAGGAAAATTTCCCCCTTGGGTGACCCATGCCTTACTGTTACCCTTTCCCCACATCACACACAAAATTACTTTTGGCAACACTGTATTTCTTGAACACACTGGGATTTTCAGAGTGATACACCAGTGAAGGCTTCACTTTAAAATACCCACTAGCATTACTTCAAAACATGAGAGTTAGCCTGTCTTTCATAGGCTTGTGTCTTGGGAGTGCCGTTTCCTCCTGCGTGATGTAGGTCCTCTTTGGCATTTTCTTCCAGAAGAGGCCTGTTTCGTCACAATTAAACACTTGCTGGGGTTTGAATTCTCAGTGTCTACACACTCCTTAAATTCCTGTGCAAACTTCTCAGCTGTTTTTTTTGTCAGAACTGGCAGCCTCACCATGCCTTATCATACTGTGAATGCCACTATGCCTCTTAAATCTCTCAAACCAACCTTTGCTGGCCTTAAAATCACAAGCTCACCACTTGTTGCAGGCATGTTCTTTCGAGATCGTCATGCAACTGCCTTGCCTTTTCACATTTTATCGACTGCATAAACACTATCTCTGCTAACTGTTTTTCGGTATCCACCCCAAAACAAAACCTCTCCACTTCTTCGAGGATTTGTGATCCCCTTTTTTGGGTCAGCATACCCACCCCTTTTGCAACAACAGCACACTTTATTTCCTTTCTTTTCCCCACGATCGAAGTGATGGTTGAATGGGGCTTGCCATACATCCTGGCAAGCTCTGTAAACGCACTCCACTCTCATATTTTTCAATGATTTCCTTCTTGAATTCAATCGTGTTCCTCACTTTCTTTACTAAAGGGCTTGCACTAGCTTTCCTTGGGCTCATGGTGACTTATTAGCAGTTGAAATCACAAAAAAAGGATTTTACGTATGAACCCCGGGGGGATGGTCACGTGTTGGTAACATGGCACATGAGCGTGAATGCGTGGGAGACTGGCTTTGTTGTGCGCGGTGATGGGCGGAGGGTCCGGATGGTTGCGAAACACAAGTTTTTTCAGGAACTCGGGGTCGAATTTCTACGAAAGTCGAGGGCTGCCGAAACTAAAGGGTTTACTATTACATGTATATGTTTTTTGGGTTTAAATATTCAATTTCCAGGCGGGTAGAAACATTGGGCGTGTTTCTTTCACCTGTTGTCTATGTTTACTATCGGGTAAATGGGTACCTGGGGGGTTAGCCGGACTAGTGTGGGTGTTATTCCTGGACACTGACCTAATTTTCTTGAAATACTCTACATAACAGCGGCTTTCTTACAGTAGTATGTCATGATGTCAGCTAGGCCTGTTTTACCTTGTACATGTAGTGTAGTAAATAAAGATATTATTATATTATTATTATTTTCTGAGCTGTTTGTTGGATTATCTTATTCAAACTTGGGCAATGTATGATGGAAAGATACTTCTTAATGTACACCAAAAATGAAAGAAATCAGACCATAAATAGCGGAGTTCACTTCTCAGCCATTAGCGGCCGCTTAGCAGTATATTTTTGTATGTTTTTATGGTTATATTCTCATTTTTTCGGTCTCATTTGATAGAATGAAATATATATTACAGAAACAGATATGATTTTGATTGATTTCATGATGAAAAGTACCTTGAAATTGTGCTCACAGTAGCGAAAATGTTCTGTTCTTTAGCGACGCTCAAGAGTAAACAAATGACGTCACCGTCCAATACCTGTCCACCTGCCAGTCCAAATTCCAATACGTAGTCTGGGTTGACATTATTTATACAATTATTACAATAATGCAGTAGTCTGCATAACAGTAAATCTTCTATTTTTTTGTGTGAATAAAAATTCCAAATGGTAAGCAAGAGTAATATAAGAGGGGCCTGGAGTCATGACTAATGAACAGAGAAAATGTTATTTTAATGCCAGGAATGTCTGCATTGTTTATTCTGGAACCTATTTTGAAATTGGCATCTGTTGAAATTTGTATGAAATCAGCCAAACTGCCAATTTCTGACCACTTTATTGGGTAGTTGAATTAAGTGAATGGGCAGTTTCTTGTACTCAGTTGACAGACTAGAAGTAAATAAATTTATTCAGGTATACATAAATACAGTTACATAGATTATCATACATAGCAGTGTCTGTATAGAGAACCTAGAATAACCCAGAAAAGTCAGACAAAGAGACTTATTTCCAGTACCTGGCTTGGGCTTGCCATACATGATTTTTGGTAAATATTTCTTTTTTTCTCGGTTGTTTGTTGGGCTATCTCACTGAAACTTGGGCAATGTATGATGGAAAGATGCTTCTTAACGTACAACAAAAATAAAAGAGACGGAGGATAAATAAGGGAGTTCACTTCTCAGCCATTAGCCGCCTCTTTGCAGTATATTTTCGTATGGTTTTTATGGTTGTATTCTCATTTTTTTGGAGTCATTTGATAGAATGGAAGATATATTACAGAAATAGACATGATTTTGATTTCTTTCATGACGAAAAGTACCTTGAAACTGAGCTCAAAGTACTGGAAATGCTCGATTTTTGCGTCAGTCAAGTTGGTTAATTTTATTAAGTGTATTCTAACCTAACTACTCTGTAATCCGGCAAACTCAGTAATCCGGCACACTACAGGTCCCAATGATGCCGGATTTGTGATGGAGGACCTGTACTTAATTTAAAAAGAGAAACTTTTGTTTTTCTTTTTAGGTCACCCTCCCTAGGTGGGACACAGCTGGTTTAAGAAAAAAGAAATCAGATCATCATTTAGTTGCAGCTACAGTGAGAGTAAGAGGTAGACGGGATACAAGGAGAAAGGCATTAGCGAGTAAGAGAAAGGTGAAAGGTAATAAACTAGAGGAGGAGGTAGAGTAAGATAAGTAACTATCGGGAGAATGATGGGCTAGTGAGAGTATCGGTAATGGTGAGGGTGAAGAAAGTATGGGGTAGATTTAGAAATGCAGTATTAAGAGTGTACAGCAGAACTTTGTGGATATAGGAGGGTGGGTGTTGGAGGGAAGAGGAGACATTGGTGGAATGATGATCAATACAGTATAGCAGTATAAATCAAAGGTATACTTACTGATAAAATAGCACTCCTAATCTCAAGCATCAGTTCATTGTCTTTTGTAGGTATGTAATGGACAAGCATAAGATCTGTGTTGACTCTGAGGTGTACATAGTCGATTCTGATAAGAGGTTGAGCCCAAGTATGCTTCTTGTGTCTCAGGAGGCCCCACTTCCACAAAACAACAGGGTCTTTTCTTGGAATGGGCTGCCAGCCCTTCTGTGTCCATTTGTATGAGTCAATAGGTACCTTGGCTGTAATAACAAAAGAAATAAAACACTCTAATATTCCTAAATTTAATAAAAAAAAACTGACATTTATGAACATTTTTCATATACAAGGATTATTAAAATAAGTACATAAGATATTTGCCACACATCACTACACTCAAGAAAGTCACATTTCTTTTGAAGGACTCTGATGCCCTATTAGAATACAACCAGCATGTTATTACGCTTTCCCAGTAAGGACAATCTTCTATTTTTCTGTTTAGTTTGTCTCCCTTAGTCTCCATTCTCTCTTGAATAACTTCAATTATTCTCAGATTCTTAATTCAAAATATTCACTGGATTTCATCAAAACTAGGTTAAATAGATTTCAAGAACCCAATTTCTTTTTTAATGATATTTTTTAATGATATTTCCATGTGTAGAAAGAGGTTTGCTAATAAGTAATACATATTTTATGAAAAAGAGGATAAATAAGTATACAAGGTATGATATAGCACATAATGAAAGTAGTTTGTTAGATTATGTATTGGTGGATCAAAGGTTGATGGGTAGGCTTCAGGATGTACATGTTTACAGAGGGGCAACTGATATATCAGATCATAATTTAGTCATAGCTACAGTTAGAGTAAGAAGCAGATGGTACAAAAGGAAAATGGCAACAACAAGTAAGAGAGAGGTGAAAGTGTATAAACTAAGGGAGGAAGAAGTTAGGGTGAAATATAAGCAACTATTGGCAGAAAGGTGGGCTAGTGCGAGTATGAGTAGTGGGGGGGTTGAAGAGGATTGGACTAGTTTTAAAAATGCAGTATTAGAATGTGGGGCAGAAGTTTGTGGCTATAGGAGGGTGGGTGCAGGAGGAAAGAAGAGTGATTGGTGGAATGAAGTAAAAGGTGTGATAAAAGATAACAAGGTACCTTATGAGAGGTTTTTACAAAGCAGGAGTGTGATAAGAAGAGCAAAGTATATGGAGAGTAAAAGAAAGGTGAAGAGAGTAGTGAGAGAGTGCAAAAGGAGAGCAGATGATAGAGTGGGAGGCACTGTCAAGAAATTTTGATGAAAATATGAAAAAATTTTGGAGTGAGATAAACAAGTTAAGAAAGCCGAGGGAATGAATGGATTTGTCAGCTAAAAACAGAGTAGGGGAGTTAGTAGATGGGGAGCTGGAGGTATTGGGTAGATGGCAGGAATATTTTGAGGAACTTTAAAATGTTGATGAAGAAAGGGAGGCGGTAATTTCATGCACTGGCCAGGGAGGTATAACATCTTTTAGGAGTGAAGAAGAGCAGGTTGTGAGTGTGGGGGAGGTGCATGAGGCATTACATGGAATGAAAGCGGGTAAAGCAGCTGGAACTGATCGGATTATGACAGAAATGTTAAAAGCATGGGGGGATATAGTGTTGGAGTGGTTGGTATTTTTGTTAAATAAATGCATGAAAGAAGGGAAGGTACCTATGGATTGGCAGAGAGCATATATAGTTCCTTTATATAAAGGGAAGGGGGACAAAAGAGACTGTAAAAATTATAGGGAGGAGGAGTATGGAAGAAGTGAATGTTTTCAGATACTTGGGAGTTGACGTGTCGGCGGATGGATTTATGAAGGACGAGATTAATCATAGAACTGATGAGGGAAAAAAGGTGAGTGGTGCGTTGAGGTATATGTGGAGTCAAAAAACGTTATCTATGGAGGCAAAGAAGGGAATGTATGAAAGTATAGTAGTACCAACACTCTTATATGGGTGTGAAGCTTGGGTTGTGAATGCAGCAGTGAGGAGGTGGTTGGAGGCAGTGGAGATGTCCTGTCTAAGGGCAATGTGTGGTGTAAATATTATGCAGAAAATTCAGAAAATTCAGGAGGTGTGGAGTTAATAAAAGTATTAGTCAGAGGGCTGAAGAGGGGTTGTTGAGGTGGTTTGGTCATTTAGAGAGAATGGATCAAAGTAGAATGACATGGAGAGCATTTAAATCTGTAGGAGAAGGAAGGCAGGGTAGGGGTCATCCTCAAAAAGGTTGGAAGGAAGGGGTAAAGGAGGTTTTGTGGGCGAGGGGCTTGGACTTCCAGCAGGCGTGCATGAGCGTGTTAGATAGGAGTGAATGGAGACGAATGGTATTTGGGACCTGACGATCTTTTGGAATGTGAGCAGGGTAATATTTAGTGAAGGGATTCAGGGAAACCGGTTATTTTTATATAGCCGGACTTGAGTCCTGGAAATGGGAAGTAAAATGCCCGCACGCTAAAGGAGGGGTTTTGGAATATTAGCAGTTTGGAAAGATATGTTGTGTATCTTTATATGTTTATGCTTCTAAACTGTTGTGTTCTGAGCACCTCTGCAAAAACAATGATTACAGTGGACCCCCGGTTAATGATATTTTTTCACTCCAGAAGTATGTTCAGGTGCCAGTACTGACCGAATTTATTCCCATAAGAAATATTGTGAAGTAGATTAGTCCATTTCAGACCCCCCAAACATACACATACAAACGCACTTACATAAATACACTTACATAATTGGTCGCATTCGGAGGTAATCGTTATGCGGGGGTCCACTGTATGTGTGAGTGAGGTGAAAGTGTTGAATGATGATGAAAGTATTTTCTTTTTGGGGATTTTCTTTCTTTTTGGGTCACCCTGCCTCGGTGGGAGACGGCCGACTTGTTAAAAAAAAAATTTACTGAGTATACCAAAAAAAGTATACGGTAGGGTTATTATTGAAAGAATTAGAGGTAAGACAGAGACTAGGATTATGGATGAGCAAGGAGGTTTTAGAGTGGGTAGGGGATGTGTAGATCAAATATTTACATTGAAGCATATATGTGAACAGTATTTAGATAAAGGTAAGGAAGTTTTCATTGCATTTATAGATTTAGAAAAGGCATATGATAGAGGATAGTGAGGCTCAGGTTAGGGTGTGTTGCAACCCCTGAATGGGTTTCAATGATTATTATGTATATATATAGGTAGTAGGTTGGTAGACAGCAACCACCCAGGGAAGTACTACCGTCCTGCCAGATGACTGTGAAACAAAAACCTGTAACTGTTTTGCATGATGGTAGGATTGCTGGTTTCTTTTTCTGTCTCATAAACACGCTAAGATAACAGGGATATCTTGCTACTCCTACTTACACTTTGGTCACACTTCACAGACACGCACATGCATATATATATATACTACATCTAGGTTTTTCTCTTTTTTCTAAATAGCTCTTGTTCCTTTTTATTTCTTCTATTGTCCACGGGGAAGTGGAAAAGAATCTTTCCTCCGTAAGCCATGCGTGTCGTATGAGGCGACTAAAATGCCGGGAGCAATGGGCTAGTAACCCCTTCTCCTGTATACAATTACTAAAAAGAGGAAGAAGAAAAACTTTATAAAACTGGGTTGCTTAAATGTGCGTGGATGTAGTGCGGATGACAAGAAACAGATGATTGCTGATGTTATGAATGAAAAGAAGTTGGATGTCCTGGCCCTAAGCGAAACAAAGCTGAAGGGGGTAGGAGAGTTTCAGTGGGGGGAAATAAATGGGATTAAATCTGGAGTATCTGAGAGAGTTTAGAGCAAAGGAAGGGGTAGCAGTAATGTTAAATGATCAGTTATGGAAGGAGAGGAAAAGAGAATATGAATGTGTAAAATTCAAGAATTATGTGGATTAAAGTAAAGGTTGGATGCGAGAAGTGGGTCATAATAAGCGTGTATGCACCTGGAGAAGACAGCGGAATGCAGAGGAGAGAGAGAGATTTTGGGAGATGTTAGTGAATGTATAGGAGCCTTTGAACCAAGTGAGAGAGTAATTGTGGTAGGGGACTTGAATGCTAAAGTAGGAGAAACTTTTAGAGTAGGGTGTGGTAGGTAAGTTGGGGGTTGCCAGGTGTAAATGATAATGGGAAGCCCTTTGATTGAACTTTGTTATAGAAAGGGGTTTAGTTATAGGTAATACATATTTTAAGAAAAAGAGGATAAATAAGTATACACGATATGATGTAGGGCGAAATGACAGTAGTTTGTTGGATTATGTATTGGTAGATAAAAGACTGTTGAGTAGACTTCAGGATGTACATGTTTATAGAGGGGCCACAGATATATCAGATCACTTTCTAGTTGTAGCTACACTGAGAGTAAAAGGTAGATGGGATACAAGGAGAATAGAAGCATCAGGGAAGAGAGAGGTGAAGGTTTATAAACTAAAAGAGGAGGCAGTTAGGGTAAGATATAAACAGCTATTGGAGGATAGATGGGCTTAATGAGAGCATAGGCAATGGGGTCGAAGAGGTATGGGGTAGGTTTAAAAATGTAGTGTTAGAGTGTTCAGCAGAAGTTTGTGGTTACAGGAAAGTGGGTGCAGGAGGGAAGAGGAGCGATTGGTGGAATGATGATGTAAAGAGAGTAGTAAGGGAGAAAAAGTTAGCATATGAGAAGTTTTTACAAAGTAGAAGTGATGCAAGGAGGAAGAGTATATGGAGAAAAAGAGAGAGTTAAGAGAGTGGTGAAGCAATGTAAAAAGAGAGCAAATGAGAGAGTGGGTGAGATGTTATCAACAAAATTTTGTTGAAAATAAGAAAAAGTTTTGGAGTGAGATTAACAAGTTAAGAAAGCCTAGAGAACAAATGGATTTGTCAGTTAAAAATAGGAGAGGAGAGTTATTAAATGGAGAGTTAGAGGTATTGGGAAGATGGAAGGAATATTTTGAGGAATTGTTAAATGTTGATGAAGATAGGGAAGCTGTGATTTCGTGTATAGGGCAAGGAGGAATAACATCTTGTAGGAGTGAGGAAGAGCCAGTTGTGAGTGTGGGGAAGTTCGTGAGGCAGTAGGTAAATGAAAGGGGGTTAAGGCAGCCGGGATTGATGGGATAAAGATAGAAATGTTAAAGCAGGTGGGGATATAGTTTTGGAGTGGTTGGTGCAATTATTTAATAAATGTATGGAAGAGGGTAAGGTACCTAGGGATTGCAGAGAGCATGCATAGTTCCTTTGTATAAAGGCAAAGGGGATAAAGAGAGTGCAAAAATTATAGGGGGAATAAGTCTGTTGA